GCGACGCGGGTTTCGATCCAGTCGCTTTACTCTTTACTTTTCGAACCATTTCTGCTGACGTTGCTGGTTTCTTTCGTCCACTTCTTTGACCTCGGGAGACGCTACCAGTATCACGGCAACGAGGGATAGCACGAGACACACAAGGTTTATTTACATTTAAGTGCTGGAGTGCTCTGGCGATAGCCACTTGGGGTTTTACAGCCAAATATAAAGAAATCACACTATCACGCTTGAATTCCATCACGAATAAGTTTTTGTTTTCTGGAAAATTCTCACCATAATGCTTTTGTACGCTTGTAAACAATATAATGAACTGTCACTGGAATAATTTTAACAGCTGTCGGACGAGTGGCTTAGAAATGCCAGCAGTCTCAAGTTGGTTGCAGTTTTTTCATCTCACCTTGTACCTCCCGATATTCGGTATTTTGGTGATTTTTGCTGCATTTTTTACGGATTTGTTTAAAAATTGTTATTTGTAGTTCGTAATGAGTTCTAACTCCTGTGGCGGAACAAATAATGCATAGGTTCACGTTTTGGTTTAGCCCCATATAATGGTACCTCAAGATATTCAGAATTTTGATGACTTTTGCCTCAGTTTTTTTTTTCGGATTTAACCAAAAATTTGCTATTTGTAGTTCAAAATCGGTTTTCGTTTCGGCGGCAAAACATTGAGAAATTAGGTCCACCTTTTCCGATACTCTGATAATCCTAATGATAATCTATTTATGTACTGATATCGATAATACTAGTCACATTTACCCACGAAATTGTTTCAAATTTGGTATTTAAGAAGATTTGATAGATGACAAGCCTTTAAGTATAAAATTGTCTGTGGAGGTTCACGTTTTGGTATGGCCACCATATAACGGCCTCACCCATTTTATGCCTTTTGAAAAATTTTGACAGCAATATCTAAACTGTCTTACATGTATTTGTAGTTTAAAGAGGAACGCGCTTAAATTCAGATACTCCACCTAAAGGTGGAAGGCCGAACTTTTACGGCACGGCATGTTTTTTTACTTGTTCAAAATTAACTTAATAAATTGAGGACCATCTAGCAAATACGACCAGGAAACTGTCATCAATGGTTAATATAATTTGGAATGGAACATTTTGAAGTCCCAACATAATAAAAGCTTTTTTCAAATTTGGAATATTTTTTTAAGAATTCGCTATGGAACAAACTATCGAGACCCTCAGCATGGATTTGAAATTTTTTCAAAAATAACTTTCTTAGGAATGCTAAGTTTTTGGAAAATATCAAATTTTTATATTTAGAATATTTTTAATATTTTTTATTTAGAATATTTTCCTTAACATTTGCCTTTCTTATGTGTGTTTTTTTTTAAGATTCTCAATAAATTCTTAAAATTAACATTAAATTTGCAATATCTCTTTACATCTGTAAAAAATTCAATTTCCAAAATCCAGTCAGTTGCAGTGACTCCATGAAAAATTGCACAACTTAAAGAAAAATACTTAAATATTTTGCATTCCCAGATTTTGATTTTATTTTCCAGCTACGATAAGGAAAAAAACAGCATCTTCCTTTTCCCAAGAAGTAAATGTTTTCATTTTCCTCCGACATTAAAACTTTCCGTTGGGTGGCCAAGAAAAAAAACATTGTTTCCTTTAATACCCAACATCAGACATCATCTGTGCAACTTAACTAGGCTGCAGATCAAAACGTTCAACAAAAAAAAAAAAGGAACGTAAGGAAAAAACATCTAAAAATCACCGCAACCCAACTAAACGTCTCAACAAAAAAAGCAAAAAAGATAAAAAAAACTTAGCTTCAACAGCCAGAGAACATAAACTAAACACTTTAGATGATGTTTTTAACAAAACGGAAATTGTTACTGTGAGCAATGAAGGAAATTAGTTTAGTAAACTATTTCCTTGGACACCCTCCTGTTTACTGGCACCCACGAACGACAGACAGCCAACCTGACATGACATTACGTCTCTCACGTTTCATAGCTACCTAGAGAGGTGTCTGTTTATTTGTTTGTTTGTGTAGAAGTTAATATCAGCTTCATTATGGTTGTAAATGTTAGAGAAACACATCAACACACAATTTAACATTGGGTTACACCTTTTGCAATGGCAATGAATGGAACTATCTCTTCTCTCTCTCCCCTGCCTATATTCTCCTCTCGTCACTCTTTTTAAATTCTTTCCAAAGCAATTACATTTTAAAACCCTACTTAAAAACCTTTTCATATCAAATGATGTATGGCAATTCATGTACAGCTCTACACAGAGAGAGAGAGAGAGGGAGAGAGAGAGAGCAGTGGCACGTGGGTATTGGATATCTTTGGTAAAAATGTGTGTGGGAGTGTGGAATTAATTTTATTTGGAAAACACACACATGTGTATATATGTTTGTGTGTTGTATAAGCATAGTGTTGGAATCCATTCACATATCCCTAACCCAGAGCATAGGAGTAATAGAGTTGTAGATTACATCGAAGTGTTCACTTTGTCGTGGAGAGTTATTGATCCATTTAAGATGGAATCGTGATGGTCGGTAACATTTCTTTTGAGGGCACCATAACAACAATTCTGAACAGTGGTTCAGAGTTTTAAAATTGATAATCTTAAACTTTAGAGAATAGCAAAATGGTGAGAAATTATAAGATTTCCCATGAAATGCCTATTTCTTTGAAAAAGACGTTTCCATAGGAAATCTTCAATTCAGCCTGGGCTGAATAGAGGTTTCCGTTAGGAAAACTTCTTTTCAGCCGGGCTGTGAATGGGTTTCCGTTAGGAAAACTTCTATTCAGCCGGGCTGAATAGGGTTTCCGTTAGGAAAACTTCTATTCAGCCGGGCTGAATAGGGTTTCCGTTAGGAGAACTTCTATTCAGCCGGGCTGAATAGGGTTTCCGGTAGGAAAACTTCTATTCAGCCGGGCTGAATAGGGTTTCCGTTAGGAAAACTTCTATTCAGCCGGGCTGAATAGGGTTTCCGTTAGGAAAACTTCTATTCAGCCGGGCTGAATAGGGTTTCCGTTAGGAAAACTTCTATTCAGCCGGGCTGAATAGGGTTTCCGTTAGGAAACTTCTATTCAGCCGGGCTGAATAGGGTTTCCGTTAGGAAAACTTCTTTTCAGCCGGGCTGAATAGGGTTTCGGTTAGGAAAACTTCTATTCAGCCGGGCAGAATAGGGTTTCCGTTAGGAAAACTTCTATTCAGCCGGGCTGAATGTGGTTTCCCTTAGGAAAACTTCTATTCATCCTGGCTGAATAGGGTTTCCGTTAGGAGAACTTCTATTCAGCCTGGCTGAATAGGGTTTCCGTTAGGAGAACTTCTATTCAGCCTGGCTGAATAGGGTTTCCGTTAGGAGAACTTCTATTCAGCCTGGCTGAATAGGGTTTCCGTTAGGAGAACTTCTATTCAGCCTGGCTGAATAGGGTTTCCGTTAGGAGAACTTCTATTCAGCCTGGCTGAATAGGGTTTCCGTTAGGAGAACTTCTATTCAGCCTGGCTGAATAGGGTTTCCGTTAGGAAAAATTCTATTCAGTCTGGCTGAATAGGGTTTCCGTTAGGAAAGCTTCTATTCAGCCGGGCTGAATAGGGTTTCCATTAGGAAAACTTCTATTCAGCCGGGCTGAATAGGGTTTCCGTTAGGAAAACTTCTATTCAGGCGGGCAGAATAGGGTTTCCATCAGGAAAACTTCTATTCAGCCGGGCTGAATAGGGTTTCCATCAGGAAAACTTCTATTCAGCCGGGCTGAATAGGGTTTCCGTTAGGAAAACTTCTATTCAGCCTGGCTGAATGTGGTTTCCCTTAGGAAAACTTCTATTCAGCCTGGCTGAATAGGGTTTCCGTTAGGAGAACTTCTATTCAGCCTGGCTGAATAGGGTTTCCGTTAGGAGAACTTCTATTCAGCCTGGCTGAATAGGGTTTCCGTTAGGAGAACTTCTATTCAGCCTGGCTGAATAGGTTTTCCGTTAGGAGAACTTCTATTCAGCCTGGCTGAATAGGGTTTCCGTTAGGAGAACTTCTATTCAGCCTGGCTGAATAGGGTTTCCGTTAGGAAAACTTCAATTCAGCCTGGGCTGAATAGAGGTTTCCGTTAGGAAAACTTCAATTCAGCTGGGCTGAATAGAGGTTTCTGTTAGGAAAACTTCAATTCAGCCTGGGCTGAATAGAGGTTTCTGTAGGAAAACTTCAATTCAGCCTGGCCTGAATAGAGGTTCTGTTAGGAAAACTTCAATTCAGCCTGGGCTGAATAGAGGTTTCCTTTAGGAAAACTTCAATTCAGCCTGGGCTGAATAGAGGTTTCCGTTAGGAAAACTTCATTTCAGCCTGGGCTGAATAGAGGTTTCCGTTAGGAAACTTCAATTCAGCCTGGCTGAATAGGGTTTCCGTTGGGAATCTCCTATTCAGCCTGGCTGAATAGGGTTTCCGTTAGGAAATCTCCTATTCAGCCTGGCTGAATAGGGTTTCCGTTAGGAGAACTTGTATTCAGCCTGGCTGAATAGGGTTTCCGTTAGGAGAACTTCTATTCAGCCTGGCTGAATAAGGTTTCCGTTAGAAGAACTTCTATTCAGCCTGGCTGAATAGGGTTTCCGTTAGGAAAACTTCTATTCAGCCTGGGCTGAATAGGGTTTCCGTTAGGAAACTTCTATTCAGCCTGGGCTGAATAGGGTTTCCGTTAGGAAAACTTCTATTCAGCCTGGCTGAATAGGTTTTCCGTTAGGAAAACTTCTATTCAGCCAGGCTGAATAGGTTTTCCGTTAGGAAAACTTCTATTCAGCCTGGCTGAATAGAGTTTCCGTTAGGAAACTTCTATTCAGCCTGGCTGAATAGGGTTTCCGTTAGGATTTTTTTCTTTAGGAAAATTTATATTCAGTCATTTAATTTCATTTGGAACAATTTCTGTTTCCCTTTAAACCCCTGTTATTCCTTTCTCTTTTCCTTTTTTAAAAATGCCGAACTTAAGTTTCTCAAGGGTCAGTTATTGTACATCCAATATAATGGCAATAGAACTCACCTGGAATCCATCATATGTCCAACTGCCGAATTTCATGACACAAGTTTGTTCATCGAAGGGAAAATATTCGACATCAATTTCACATGAACTTTTGTAGATAGCAGGTGGTCGCCACTCAAC